AACCACATACTTACCATTAAAATCTAGGTGAGTCTTGACCACTCTAGTAGGTTTAGGTCACAGATAACTAACTTAGCTGCCTAGCTGAGTTTTTAGTCTAAGCTCCCATTCTTGCATGTAATTTATACTTTTTGTTATTATACAAATGAAGTCATTCTATATGACTACTTATATAAACTACTCAATAAAGATATGAGCAAGGCCTCACCTTAATACCAAAAAAAAAAAAAATAAGTTGAACTTTGATTAAGAAACAAATTGCTTCTGAATAGAAAAAGATTTAACAAAATTAAAAAAGTTACATGAACTAAATGCTATTGCTTTTTAAAAATTATCAAGCTATACAAGAAAATCTTAAAGTTTTATATGTAGAATATTAGATATTAAAAGATTTAATCTTTATTAAGAGAAGAATTTAGATAAAAGTATTTGAAAGTGATATTTTAATTACTACAGGATTAATAAGATAAATCTAAATAAGTATAAAATTAAAAGTTAAGTTAAAATATTATTATTTTAATTTAAATATTGCAAAAATATATAAAATTGAAATATTATACAAACCATTAATAAATATTTTACTAAAAATATATTTTTAAGATTTAATTTAAAGTTATAGTAAACTATTACAATAAATAATCTAAATTATAATTGTTTTGATTAAAAAATATAATTCTGAAAAAATTATATAAAGAGTGAGAGTAGTATATAAAGATTATTTTTCGATATAATTTTTGCAATATTGTTAAGTTACTAACAAGATTTTAAGACTTTGACTTGATAGTCAAAATAAAAGTTTAAATTTTAGATACAATTAATAAATAAGATCTAGAAGTTAAAAGAGAAATACTGCAAAAATAAAATTAGTAGTAGATAAATTTATACTAGCAAGATAAAGAAAAATATAAAAAGAAATTTATTTAAAAGTGTTACAAATTATACTATTATTGTTATTCTAGTCTAACAATATCCCAAACTACTACTAATATTTCTATTATTATTCTTTAATTCTTCTTTACTACTTTCACTTTTTTTCTAACAAGGCTTTATAGATCTTTCAAGATTTTTTTTTTCTTCTTTCTATTCTTCATATTTTCTTCAAATTCTTTTTTTTATCTTCTTCTGATAAACTTTCAATATAATATCTTCTTCTTATGATATGCCTCTACTTATTTGTTTCTACTCTTCTATTCATTATTCTTAAAACTCTATTTATATCTTTTTTTAATATAATATACTCTAATTTAAATTTCTTTTCTTTTTATACAGCTTCTGGTTTTATTTTCACAACACCTTATACTTTCTCTCCTCATTTTCTAAATAATTTACCAAAACTTTTTCTTTTGCTCTTCTTGATATAACTTTTTTTTCTATCTTTTTATATAATTTTGTATTAACTTTCTCTAACTTCTTAATATATATCTTGTCTCTGTATTACAAAATATTTTTTAATTTTAATATTAAATTATTTTAATTTTTGTTGTATATAGCTACTAGTTCTCAGTTATATTCTTAACTTATTTTTGTTTTTTTTTTTTTAAATCTTTATATAATAGAAAAATTATATTAGTTATTATAATTGATAATTTAGATTCTTACTTTTGTCTTTGGGGATGTTTATTCAAGTACAAGGTATTATTATTGCAAAATTTTTTTTATGAATATTATTTTAGAAGTTTTAATTTTTAATAGATCCAAAATTTACAGTATAATAATAATCAAAAAAGAATTTAAAATTCAAAGTACATAAAGAGAAATTCTATGGTTGATAATATACAAGTTATATTTTTAAAGAGTCAATTTTCAAAATTTAGTAATCATTTTGATGCTAACTAATAGTTAGAATATTACTCTAATAGCAGAGTAATCTGGGTTTGAAACTAGTGAGAAGAGCTATCCTTTTTAGAATACTGATTTCACATAGAATACAGATGACTTCAATAGAGATAACATATCAGAATAAGATTTTTTTTGTTTTTGTTTTCTTTTTATATTCTAATTATTATTATTTATTTATATTGTATATTTTAGTTTTAAAATTAAATATTTATATGTGGTACACATAAAATAGGTCTGGACAAATATCATAGGCAAAGAAGGATCAGCAAAATATATACAGTAAAACTCATAACTAAAAGTGGATTTACTACCATAAATCTGGATCACTAAGTGATAAGGCTTATTAACCAAATCATAAAAATGATGACCAATATGAAATCTGAAGAAGAATTCTGAGAAAACTAACAGAAGATCAAGAGAGTAGATTTTGAAGATATACAAAGAAAGGACTTTGATAGAATAAATTATTGTAGTAATTATTATAAGCCCCTTGTGATTAGAATAACTTTTATCTGACTCTTTAATGATGTCTTATGTAAATTATCCCTAAGCCTCTTGAGTTTGTTAGAATAGAATAAGCTATAAAAGCACTGAGAGTTCGTGTTAGTTAAAGAACATCCTCCTGGATTCCAATAATTCATTCATAAGACCTTTAATAAATTACCCTGATAATTCCTTTTAATAAAATAAATTAATGTCAAATTACCAAAGTCAAGCCTCTGACGAGTTGCCTTATCACATAAATTATATCTTTTTGTGTATAAATTGATAAAATCATACGAATCATCTGTAATAGGATCAATTTGACTTGGCAAAATTTTTTCTTATTTGATCAACAACCGACCAATGGAATTTGATGAACATATTTTATTTGAATTTTATGCTTTTGTAGAATTTAATTTAATAAAAAGTCATCGAATTTCATTGGGCGATTTTTAAGATATCTTTGATTAAATTTTCAAAAAAATTTAAGCATCTATCAAAATATAAGCTATTTAAAATTTTTTCTAAATTGGATTGATAAACTCTTTCATTTGAATTCTATAGATTCATAGGATCTTAATAAAAAAAGTTCATCAAATTCATTTGGTGGTTGTCACAATATCTTTAATCAAATTTTTTTTTTATAAAAAAAGTGACATATAGAATGTGAAGATATTGGTACCTTTTAATAATATTAAACTATACTATTGGAAAATATATATATTGCATGTAATTTATTTTACTCATATATTATATATAGCTTTCAAACTGAATTGTTTAAATTATTTATAAACATATAGTATATGTAGTATAGATTTAAAAATATATAAAATACTATCTAAAATATTTTAATTTATTGTCTTGTATAAATTCTAAGCATGATGAATGTAATAGAAATTAAAAATTTATAATTTTCAAATTTGCGATAAGTAATTAATGTAGAATCAATCAAATAAAAAGAAAAAATGTAGTAGCTATAAAAGAATTTCTTCATTGAATTATTAATGTAAAAAGAAATAAGGTGAAATTTTGTTATAAATATTATAACAAAGTATGTAAAAAAAAAAAAGATGAAGATGATATTTCAAATCGAGACTATTAATAATTTAAATGCTTAATCAGATTGCACTTTAAATTTTTCAAAACACTATTATTAGTTTAATTTCGGTTTATGTTAAAAGAAATTACCCATATATAGAAAAATGCACCAAAATTAAAATTATATTACATTACAAAATTAACCAAATTTTAATCGTATAAAACTTAATATTTGTGATTAATGTCTATAAAGCAAACTAGATAAAAAAAGGAACTTTTATTAATACAGGTTGCTGAATAAAGAATACAAAATGCTAAATTATATTTATAATTATATTCATATGCTATTTTTTCTTGTTTTTCGTAGATATTTTACCTTCACTCTGTCCTTAATTTACAATGTTAAAAAATCTAATTTAACCTATGCTGCGACACCTACAATACCCTTTAAACGGAGAAGAAATGAATTATTTGGAGCATTTCATGATGATGCATATAATGTTGGAACGTTCTCAAATCAATCTTCTTTGGTAGAAAGAAAAGTTTAAACTTGCGAACCTGGATATTTTCAATTTCCAGGGACTACTTTATGTTGTTCTACAAAATGTAGTAAAATTTGCGATAACATTGGATGTTGTCCATCAGGTTATGATTGTTGTACAATATTGTTGTCAGATAGGTTATAATTATTGTAAAAGATATTGTTGCGATTCAGACTCTTATTGTTGTAGTGACAAAAGTGGTTGTTGTTTGCTAGGTAATGAATATGCTGGCAATGGCTTATGCGATAGACCAACATTATCACTGACAATAATTCAAATAACACAAGAAGTTGTTGAATATGTAGTTAGGGACACTAGTAAATATGTAATAGTGACAACGGCGACAATGACAATAACAATTACAGTACAGTATTATATGTTCGTCAATTCTACAAGTCGATTCGATCTATAATCCTACAAGTTATAGAATTGTAGAATTACTAAAATTTATTAATGATCGTCAATTCTCAATTCTACTGCATAATAGAATTGTAGATCGGTTTTGGAATTATTTCTACACATGTAGAATTAATTCTCCTGCATCACTAGTCACGCCCAAAAAGTTGAATGGAACCATCCCTCTCACATTTCATGTGGTCATACTGGTATAAATTTATAAAGTTAAATATGATAGATATATTAAATTGGAATTTATTTTTAAAAAAATATTTTTAAACAAATAGAAAAAAAATGAAAAAACCCCAAATATATAATAATGATAATAATAAATTCCAAGTTTTACAAATGATCACATATATATTTTGCTATATTGGTACAAAAGACTTGGAAAGCCCCACCAGCTCCGGACCAAAAGGCTGCCAAGATCGCATATGGTATTGTCACTCCCAATATAGTTAGTGAACCACCTGCAGCTACTATCCCTCCTACAACTGCAGCACCTGATATATAAAGTGTCGCATATGCTACTTTCTGACAAAGAGAATTAGATATACTATCAGTATGATCAATACTATCATCAATAACTACTGTAAAACCAGACTCTAGTTTTTTAGCAACGAGGGTAAAATTTTTATATGTAGCTATTGTTGCAGTATCACCGACATTATGTAATCCATTTATTGCGGTTAAAATTTTATCCTTCCATTGCTGTTTTTCACTTGAATTAACAATAAAAAAATGCACATATTGGGTTATAAATTCTATAAAACGTCATATCAATAATAACTTAAAATTTACACTTACTCACTGAAATAATTAAGGAATGCACATAACAAATTATGAAGTTTTATTATCAATTATTTATAGATTATCATTATAAATATTATAAAATATAATTATACCTAGTTGGAATTGCTGGAGCATTTTCGGTTGGATTAGTAGTATTATATGGAGTTGCTGGATCAATGATTTTGATTGGAGCTGATGAATTGACGGAGGCTGCTAATCAGACAGAACGTATTGATCAAAAAATAATATAAATTTCAATTTTAAAAATTTAAAATGAGAAACCCTACCTCTTTCAAGCATGGGAATAGTCATTGCAATAGTTGCGACTAATGAAGTTATAAGAAAGATTAAACTAAATTTGACTTGCATGATTAAACTTTAAGATAATGGGATATGTTATTGAAAGAAAAATTTCAAGTTTATATTTTCGAAAGTTATCAAAAGGTTTAAAAGAATCGAGCAAAAATCGAGCATTTATTTATATATTTTGACATGAATAATTCCCATTTTATGCTTCCACTTTTAATTAGTTCTTCATATGAAGAATCCTTTAAGAATTTCAAAATCAGTTTAAACCAATGCAATATTTAATTCGTTCCAAACTTTAAATTTTAGAATTTTCTTTTCTTAGAGGAATTTAATTCATAGTTATCAGGTTTTTGTGCTTATAGTGCATACAATTAGAGATTGGACCCGGATAAAAATTGTTGCCTAATATTTTACCCGGATAATTTAATAATACCCGGGTAGAGATTTTCTCAACGGGTCCAATCTCTACATACATTATGCATATAGTTAGAGATGGAATCCGTCTACCATTCAGAAAAAATTGAGCTTACCTGTATCTGCTTATCTATTCATGACTTCGACAGACATTCAGATAAACTGGATAAAGAATTATTATCATGCAGATACATTCGATCGTGAATTTATCTCTCCCATCGTTATGATGTAAGAACAGATCCGAATAAAAACTCAGTTTGTCAATGATAACTTATATAAAACACGATCTTATTATTATATCAGATAGTTGAATAATCCAGTTTAATTATTTGAAATCAAAATTTTATCCGAATATTTAGTAATATTCGGATTATTCAGATCGTCAGATATAAAAGCTCCATCTCCACATATAGTATGTACAAACCTTCTCGGCTTGGGTCAAAATCCCGACAGGGTTAAAAAATTCTCATGTATGCGCACGATTAGGAATGGACAAAATTTTTATATACGCTTGCATATTAAATTTCGTTGAAGTATTATTATTATACATATTATTATAATTAAATAAAAAAATAACTTCCAAATTAATATTTATTTTTTAAAAACAATCGTTATATGTTATTTGATATTGTTCTACAACTGTAGATTCCTTTCAAATTTAAATATTCATTTTTTTAAAACATTGCTATATTATAAATTACTATTTAATACCATTACTGTATATACAAATGTAATTAAATATTATCAATTTTTCTAGAAATAACCAGTTTTCCAATGTTCTGTAATTATTATATTTAGCTTGAATGGAAGATTCGATTACGTTCAAACAATCGGTCATTTTATTTAACTCATTAAAAAGAAATTATATATATTATAAATATACGTAATTGAAATACATAATCAATGTATGTAGTTTTTTGTGTAATAGATAATTCTTAGATGAAATATTATATTCATAACACCGTGTAATTATAACACCCTATATAGTTTAAGTTTGAGTTAAATTAGGGTTAGGGTGAAGCTTTAAGATATATAGGTGTTTTTTATATTATATAATATATATTAGATATAAGGTCCCAATTTCAGTTCTCAGGAGGTTTTCATGGGTCCTGAACATTTTAAGATACCCGATCCCATTTACTTAGTACGTTTTTGAAATATAGCATAGAGTTAGTATAGGGTGTTATATAACACGGTGTTATGAATATAACTTTCCTTCTTAGATTATTTAATAATATATAATAATTTATAAAATATGTAAGGGTTATCGATTACATAATCATTTCACATCCCTGCCATTGATGATCGGAATCTTGAAATAAATATGATCAGCCATTCTTAAGTAATCAAAAAATCGATTTAAATCATAAATTCTAATGATCATCAATTCTACAATTCTACTTTGTAGTACTGTGGAAATTACATCAATTCTAGATGTATAATAGTAGAATTACTAAAATTATTTATGAATCATCAATTCTCAACTCTACTACATACATATGCAGAATCACTAATCATAACATATCGGTCGATATGTCAAAATTAAAATGAAAATAACAGTACTACTTTCCGTTTAAATCGACTTTTTTTCTTGGCACGTAAATTATAACTAACTATTTGCTGATCTATGCAGTACTACTTTCCGTTTAAATCGACTTTTTTTCTTGGCACGTAAATTATAATAAGTTTAACTATTTGTTGTTCTATGCACTACTCCTGATTTAGGTTTGATTAATTGGTATATCAGATGCCCAACTCAAGCATTAATCCATGAATGTCATGATCGGAACTTGAATCTATAAACATCGAAAATATATCATGACAATCATTTTTTTTCGGCCCGACTAAGTCGCATCAAGCATTCAGGATTGATTTGGGCTTGATTTGGACTTCCGATATACCAATTAATCAAACCTAAATCAACATTGATTACCGTAGAGCGCTGCATACAGTACCCGGTGTGACTCGATTTTTTAAATAGTAAAAAATTAAAACACATGTATTTTATATCGCATAGTTGTATAAATAATATTTTAAAAAATTTATCTAAATTTGATCTAAATTATTTGTCACGCATGGTACTGTATGCAGCGCTCTACGGTAGCAAGTAGTTAAACTTACGTGCCAAGAAAAAAAATCGATTTAAATGGAAATTTGTATTTTTAAATAAAATAATTCCAAGACAGTAAAAACTGTATTAGGAAACAGCACATGGATATTTTGTATGCCACAAGCCCTGTTGATTAATTAAATGCATGTGCATAGGCAGAAGTTTGTCTGATTGCAGGATTGGCTGATAAATTCAATTTAATTTTATATTATTTATACAGTTTAGAGTACCTTTTTTTTTTAAAAAAAAAAACGAAAATAAAACATAATGAAATAAAAAAAAACTATATGGAAGCTTTTATTAAAATTGTAGGACTCCATAGCCAAAAATAATAATTTATTTTCTTACGTTTAAAAAAGGTAGTATAGTAATGACTTCTCAAAAATCGATAAAATCAAGTTATTACTATGCTACCTTTTTTTAAACCGGCGAGAATAATTATTATTTTTGGATATAAAAGTCCTACAACTCTAATAAAAACTTCCATACAGTTTTTTTTTATTTCATTATGTTTAGTTTTCGTTTTTTTTTAAAAAAAAAAGTACTCTAAACTGTATAAATAATGTAAAATTAAATTGAATTTATTAGCCAATTAGACGAACTTCTCACTATGTAATACATTTACTAAAACTCTTTAGTTAAGATTTTAGTTAAGTTTAGGGTTAGAGTAAGTAAAATTATTTATGCCAAAATTTGCAAGGAATTTTTTTTCTTTTGCTATAACACAAAAGACAGTTTCGTAAGCAAAATTCACGAACTTATTTCGAAGTTAGATTATTATTAGGAGCAATACCATAAATGGACATATAAAAGATCATCCCTTTTAGTAGATTCTCTCCCATTTTTTTCTTTTTTGCCGTTCTTTTTTTTTTTGTTAATTAAATTTTAGTCATACCGTATAAGCGTGAAATAACGCTCAGGGGCGTTAATTCGAAAATCAGTTACCCCTAAAATAGTATATGTAGTCTCAAATTAACTCCCATGCGCGTCCCGAATTAACGCGCACCCGATATAACCTGCAATCGATTAGTACAACAAACTGTTATATCACTTACCCGGCCACAACAATATTATTCAGTATCCAATTAATAATAATTTGCAATGCACGATTAGAGATTAGAACTGATGAATTTCAAGCATCAGTTGAACGTTTATTGAGTTTTTTTTTAATTTAGCGTACTATTAAATTTATCAATTGCTTTTTTTTTGCACCAAAAAATTTATCAAATTTGTATTTATAATTTTATCACTATCAAAACAGTTAAATTTGATACTCGATGATAGCTGAATTAAAACTTAATGAAAGCTTATTTCAATACTTGAAATTTTTATGATTGAATAACCTTTATGCACAATACAATGATAGCATTATGAATTTCTCATTTCAAGCTTTATTAATATATGAATGCTATCTGCAAAACAATAAGTTTAAAAAAAAATTTAAAAATTGAAACAAAATCAAAAAAAAAAAATTTAAGAGAAATTTTTTTTTTAAAAAAAAATATTAATATAAAAATTAAAAGAATTTTTTTTTTTAAAAGAAAAATTAAAAGAAAATTTTTTTTTAAAAAAAAGGAAAAATTGAATGAACTTTTTTTTCAAAAAAAAAAAATCAAAATCAAAAAAAAATCTTGTATCTCATCATGCCACACATGAAAAAAAAAGGCTCTATTTATATCATCCTCTTCAGTTTCAATTCTAATTGATAAATAATGTAAAAATTTTGTCATATTGCGGTGCAACTCTATATAATATGCTGTCAGAAAATTGATGACTTTTAGATTAGGAATTAGTTAACAATTTATATGAAGTTTTCTTTATTAAGTTACCTTTCAATAATCAATATCTATCATATCTTCAGATTCGCCATTTAACACATCCTTATCAAGTTTATTAGGATTCGAACTACTATCTGAATCTTTCTCATTTGTGGATTCATTTTCATGATCCTCTTTATTACAAGTTACTTCATCCATATGATTTGTGATAATAGCTTGAAGATGACTTGACATTTTATAATCTTCACTGTTATTAGGGTTAAGCATAAGTCCAGATGCCTCAAAAGATCTAACTAACAAATTTATACTAATTTCTTTCCATGTTTCTAATACCCATTCAGAAACTAATTTGTATGATGCTTTTTTGCGGTTTCCTTTTGTAGTAAACCTACCTTTCCCTTCATCCATTCACATTTCCTATCTTTTTGTTATTCTATTCTTGAAAGGCTTGTTTACTGAAATATTGGAAGGTTGAAAAATGCACGTTGTTCTACCAGGAATCTCTACAACGTTCAAGCCTTCCATATTTAATGCTTTAACTACATCTTCACAAACATGACTGCGATAATGATCAACAAATATTACACCTTTATTTTTAAAGAATCCATTCAGTCTTGCTTAAATAACACGTGAAATATAAGTGGAGATCATTAAATCCTCTATTATATTTGTACAAGGTGCAGTTGCTACTACAATGTCTCAGAGAAATCTACCTTTTGGTTTTGTTTTTAGTTTAAAAATAACAGTGGGTGAAAGTT